TCTTTTTGGCCTCCCTCACTCCACCTCTCTTCGACCGCCACCTATCGCCCGTTTTGCCATCAGCGACGGCCTCCGCCCAACAAACAATCCATCCCTGCAAACCACGAGCGCCCAGCTCACCGTCAGAGACATGGACGGCAAAAGGCATGCTGCGTCCTTCCAACAGCTGGAGAAGCTCGGCGAGGGAACATATGCTACAGTGAGTGGAGATTTTCATAACATCAATCCTAACCCCCAATATACTAACTTCGTCGAGGTTTTCAAAGGCCGTAACCGCCAGACAGGCGAGCTGGTGGCCTTGAAGGAGATTCACCTGGATTCAGAGGAGGGCACACCCAGCACTGCCATCCGCGAGATTTCACTTATGAAAGAGCTCAAGCACGAGAACATTGTTGCCCTTCACGATGTTATTCACACCGAGAACAAGCTGATGCTCGTCTTTGAGTTCATGGATGGCGATCTCAAGAAGTACATGGACACCCAGGGCGAGAGGGGTGCCCTGAAGCCCCCGGTCATCAAATCGTTCATGTACCAGCTGCTGAAGGGGATTGACTTCTGCCACAAAAACCGGGTTCTCCACCGTGATCTGAAGCCCCAGAATCTTCTCATCAACGGCAAGGGCCAACTCAAGCTGGGTGACTTTGGCCTCGCCAGGGCTTTCGGCATCCCGGTCAACACCTTCTCGAACGAGGTCGTCACGCTCTGGTACCGGGCTCCTGACGTTCTGCTCGGCAGCCGGACCTACAACACCAGCATCGACATCTGGTCGGCCGGCTGTATCATGGCCGAGATGTTTTCGGGCAGACCCTTGTTCCCGGGTACTACCAACGAGGACCAGATCATTCGCATCTTCCGCATCATGGGCACGCCGACGGAGCGCACTTGGCCAGGCCTCTCGCAGTTCCCCGAGTACAAGACGACCTGGCAGATGTACGCCACGCAGCCACTCGGCAGCATCCTGCCCCAGATCGACCACCTCGGTATCGATCTCCTCCAGCGCATGCTGCAGGTCCGACCCGAGCTACGCATTTCGGCGGCCGAGGCACTCGTCCACCCATGGTTCAACGACCTGATCGGACCTAAGCAACACCAACAACATCTCCAGGCACAGCAGATGATGCACCCGCATGGGGGTTACCAGCAGACCGTGCCAAGCCAGAGCAACTATGGAGGCTACTAGTATTAGCAATCCTGGATGCCTGCAGGACGGCAGGATTTCGCGACGGCCCACGCCAGCGGATACGGTAGCATGGATTTCGCCAGGAGCCATCCGTGGCCAGCTTGGTATCAGCATCGACCTTTTATAGCAACACCCTTCTCTCGTTATCCGAGGCAGCATCAATGAGCAGGTTCTCCTTCAGAAGAGGCGACCGGATGCCAGACGAGGAAACGGGGCGCCCCTGGAGTAGTATCCTCATCACAATTTTGCTCCTAGCAAGGGGCGGCGGCGAAGCAGGGCAGATAAAAGGAGGTGGCAGCCCGTACCGACATTCTTATAATGTTATCCGAGTCGGTGGAAGTGGAAGAAGACAGGAGGGCCACAGTTTTCAGTTTCCGGGAGGTCTTTTTGGCTCAATAGGGCGACAGTGAAAGGAAGGGGGTAATAATGAGAACCGGAGAAGCAGGGCCGAAACAGGGCCTTGCTAGGCCGTGACGGGACGGATGAGCGAAGCGGGCATTTTCTAGCGACATAGAAGGGAGATGGCAAATGAAACGGTTTTTTTTTTTTTTTGATACGCTTTATCTGCTCTTTGCTTGTAGTTGACCACCTACCCTATTGTTGCATTGAACTGCTCTGTATTCGTGCAGTACAAAGGTAAGAAAAGGTCGCCATATCGGATCCACCTATTCATGCCATGCCCTGGTTGGGATGCATGGACCGGCCCCACCTTTGCACTGGACCTCCGAGCCTCCTAAAAGTTGACCGATCTGATTGGTGCGCGCAGCTTCATTGATGCCTCTCCTGCAACGTGCAACCAGCGACCGGCATTACAACACCCATCACCAACAAAGACGCGCGGGAATGGGCAACATCACTTCGTCACCCAAAATAACATTCCCCCGGGATTTTCTTAGCTCAATTTCGTGAATGCAACCACTTTTTTGATAGCACGGCCGCTGCTCCGACCCGGCCACGATGGATTCTCGCAAGGGTACGACTGCGGCTGCGACACGCGCTCTCCCACTTCACGTGCTTCATCTTTGCTAACGATTCTGCTCGGCCGCAACAGACGAGGAGGCCACCATTAAGGTCGCCTCGATCAAAAAATCTGTCACTCCCTCACGACCCCAGGTGTTCGGCAAGATCAAACTCAAAAAAGCCCCGCCGAAACAGGCCAAGCCTGGAAATTGGAAAGAGGCCAATGTCATTGAAGGTTCGCCGGGTTTTCCTTTGATATCCCTCCGGCCTCGATCGCATTTTTTCCTATCTGCCAGCTAGGCTAATTCTTGTGCTCGATGGCAGAGGACAAGAAAAAATCAAAAGACAATGCGATCACTGCCGCCTCCCCCAGCCCCGTCACCATCCAGCTCGACGACGCCTCTCGCGAGAACTTCCAGACCGGCCGCCCGCTCGAAGACCAGCTCGACATGTTTCAATGCAAACACTGCAAGAAGGTCATTACCCGATCTGCGGGCGTGGAACATGTCGCCCGGTGCTTGAAAATCAAGAAGGAAAAGGCGCAGCGGAAAAAAGAGGCCCGCGAGGCCCGCGAGCGGATGAAGGAGGCTGTGAGGGAGCAGGAGCGCAAAGCCGAGGGCGACGGTGCCGGGCGGGGCGACGACGATAGTGACGACGATGACGAGATCAAGGACGGAAATGCCGGCAAGACGACCGGCAAGGCGAAAAAGACGAACGTCGCCGGCAAGAAGAGGAAGGCCGAGGGCGAGCTCGACAAGGGCAAGGCCAAGAAGAAGAAGGACGAGCCCAAGCCGAAAGCTGCGAAACCAAAGGGCCCCGTTGATGTGGAGAGGCAATGCGGTGTGCTGCTGCCGAATGGCCAGCCGTGTGCCCGGTCTCTGACCTGCAAGAGCCATAGCATGAGCGCGAAAAGGGCCGTGCCGGGCCGATCACTACCATACGACATGCTTTTGGCTGCGTACCAAAAGAAGAATCAGGCCAAGCAGCAGAAGGCTGCTATCGATGCGAACGCGCCTCTGGAGGACGAAGACGAAGCCAACCAGGCAGCGGTCGACAGCGACGAGGAGACGGCTGCCGTGATGAGTGCCTTGGCCAACTGGAACCCACAGCCCGTCGTCCCACAGCCCGTGTTTGCGCCCACCAAGCGTCAGTACCAGCTTGCCCGGCTCCACGAACAACTACATACTGCAACGAACGGCGGCCGCGTCAACATTTTTCAGGTCGTTGGCTACGGCGCCCAGCGGCTTCCCGAGGGACATCCGGGCCTGCTCGAAAACGAGGACGCGCCGGGCGAATCGGACCCGGCGGCCATGGGCGGGGACTTTTCGCGGCGATCGTCCAGCTTTAGCCTCGGTGGGCCACCCCAACGGCAGCCGTCGGTTGCAGGCCGAGCCTAGGGTGCTCGAGCTTACAGTGTACCGACGCCTGCTCTGTACGGGTGGCCGCACCCGAATGTCAGCTTTGGAAGTGGCGGCCTGGTTCCGCGTCATAGCTCTCTCCCCGACATACATGCTACGCAGGCTATGGGGACTTGGGCCGCGATGAATGTTGAGAGGCAAAAGCAGCTGCAGCAGCACCAGCCGGAGAAAAAAGTGGCTAGGTATCAGCAACTGCTGGCGCAGCAACAGCAGCAGCATGCTCAACAGCAAAACCAGTTGCAGTGGGTTACCGTATCGGCCCAAGCTACGAGCCGGGGAGGAAGTCACAGCAAAGGGCGTCGGGCCTACCAGCAGGCGCAGGCCCGGGCTTATACGCAAGGATCCATGCGGCAGACGCAGGGACAAGCGCAACACCAGATTGCGGCCGTGAGGCGGGAGGCCCATGCCCAACGTCGTGCGCAGATCCGAGCTCACGCCCAGCACTTGGCGGCAACCCAGGCTCCGAACCCGCTGGCTGGGTGCCCGACCGCGTCGATCACCGCTGCCATGGCGGCCGCCGTCGCGATTGCCGGTCCTCATAACCGCAGGCCTCTTATACCCTCGCCGCAGCTCTCGACCGCCGCAGCGTCTGCATCATCTGCGGCTACGGCTGCATCTACATCTGCGTCTGCACATGCGTCTACGTCTGCGTCCACTGCCGCCGGTAGACCGCAGCCACAGATGCAGGGACAGATGCAACCGCAGGCTCAGGCGCTGGCGCAGGAGCAGGCTCAGGGTGGCATTAAGCAAGAGACTGGGTGATAGGTGCATGACTATGAGGCGGCGTTCATTGCATTGCACCACTGCTTTTACCCCGGGGCATTGGCGTTGAGGCCATGTAACATTATATTATACCCCACCCCATCCGGCTTCTTTCTTTTCTTTACTTTGCGGGGCTCACCTCGAGCATCCTCGCTTTCGGGGTACAAGCCCCTTTCGGAATATTTTGGGTTTCCTGCTCTGAAGCATCAGGTTTTTTACACGGTTACGGTACACGGCATCAACGGCGTTTTATGATCAGGTGCAACTCGGACTTGGCTTGGGCTGGGATTGGGTCTCGGGCCTGGTTTGACTTGGCTGGCGGGGTGGATATCAAGGCGTTGGGTCGGCGGCTTGCTGCTTGGTTCATTCCATATCGGGTTTGAGCATCATACTTGCGAAGGGAAATGGAAATACATTTTTCAGGATTACCCTCGGCCTAGGTTTCTCGTGGCCTGTTTTTGTGTCCCCCCGTCTAGTGCAACATTTCATCACACCCCAATCCCATCACCAGCACACCTGCCCCCTTCACCCATCCCTGCAACATGACACGACATACCATAGCACAAATCACCCACCCAAACCAGACCCCCATCGCCCTTCATAAACCCACCCTCGACCCAGTCCTCCCCATCACAGGGGCTCCACCCCGCTGACTGGTGATACTCCACTTCCACTCGGCAGGGCGTGTGGCTCAGTTGGTAGAGCGTTCGCTTAGCATTTTCCTTGGACCCTCCCTCCTAGCGAGGGGTCGTCCGCTCCGGTTGTGCGAAAGGTCCTGGGTTCGATTCCCAGCTCGTCCAGAGGTGTTGGGGTTCTTCGGTCCAGAGGTGTTGGGGTTCTTCGGTCCAAGAGGGTTGAGGCTCTCCGGTTCAAGAGGGTTGGGGGTTGAGGTGGAGGTATCACGGGTGGAATCGCCGTGGTAGGGGATCTCTGGTATATTGTGTGGTTGCACGAGCAACCGAATGTAGGAGGCGCGGCGCGCCCAGGGAAAACCCTATCTGTGTGGGCCGCGCACAGACCACACTAGCAGGACCCCACTACCAGGGGTCCTGCCCTGCAACCCTGACCCTGACTAACTACAACCCTAACCCGTATATGGAACGGGCTGTGCCCGTGACATTATTAATATATAGGTTCGGCCTTCGATCTCCGGTGCTACACCCCTGTAAATGGTGGGAGACGATATCCCCGTCCATCTCATTATCTATGTCCATCTCATTATTCTATGTCCATCCCATTCTCTCTATCCATCTGATTATCCCCTATCCACCTCATCTTTCCTGTCTATCTTATTTTCGGACTGACACCGCCGTATTCATCCTGAGGCCCCTTGGAACATAGACCGACCAGAGCGCTATAGCATCCCAGAGCTCTGATACGGTGTTTGTTACCAAATCCTACGTCTTGGCCGAGTTTCCGGAACAAGCAACTCTCAAAATCCCGTTCACCGCGCGCTATGGAGCTCGCTCTGGCGATGGCGGTTTAGATTTTATCGTAGCGGAGTAATTCTCGGAGCAGCCGTTCTAGGCTGACCGCAAGACGGATAAGATGTTGGGCGGCGTCTCTGGAGCCCGAGCAAGGGAGTAAAAAGAGGAACCTGGCATCAGCCAGCACCGGGCCCAGCTCGTTGTGCAGGATGCGGAAAAGGACGGCCCGTCGTTGAACCCTGAAGCGGTGGTACACGAAGCGAGCTGTGGCGATGAACTGGGTGCGAGGCTCAGGCGACCGGCCCTCGGTCCAAAAGGACTGCGGGCTCGCCGTAGTTTACAATGAACAAGCTTTACCAAGGGTTCGGGGAGAAGTGCAAGATAGGTAAGGGGTAGCGATTGGGTGGGTAGACCGAGTTGCGGCATATATTGCGTTGTATTTGATCCCAAATGGTAGTTAGTACGTTTACGTTAAATACTCTTCGTTTTCATGTGTAAGTCCATCGTTTTTGATAATGATAAAGGTCCAGGATATGAGTGACAGGTGACGCGTAGCTGATTTGATGACTAGGAGGTGAAAAGAACCCAAGCAAAATAAAATAAAATAATTAATTAAACAAAAGAAAACAAGCTAAATAAAACAGTAGGTATTTTAGCTGAAGGTTTCCGCGACGGCTACATCTTAGAGTTCGGCTTTTTTGCCCATCAGGAAGCCCATGTGGTGCCAGTGTTCATGCATGGCATACCCGGCACTAGCACACGGGATGACGTCGTTGCGGCTGGGCATCATGCCTCGGCTTCCAGCCAGCATCAAGGAACAAGATGGGGAAATATATACTCGGGTGGTTCCCCAAAATTGATATGTGAATAACTAGCACAATTAGTTTATCTTCACACCCTTTAACCTCCTCGGCTTACATCTCCCATTTACCCTTGGTGAAGATATCGACATCCCCATAACCCAACCCCCGCCCCCCTTATTCCTTACAACCAACCCTCCCAACCCAAAGCACCCCCCCCCCCCCCCTTTTATCCCTTATAACCAAGCCACCAACCAACCATGCCCCCCCCCCTCCTCCCCGCCCTCGGCCACGCCGCCTCCGGCGCCACCGGCACCGCCCTCTCCACCCTCGCCACCTACCCCCTGGACCTCGTCAACACGCGGCTCAAGGTACAGCGACAGCTGCAACGGGACGGCAGCATCGCGGCGGCGGACACGTACGACGGCGTGATCGACGCCTTTCGCACCATCTATGCGCGGGAAAGTGGGTTGCAGGGGTTCTTTGCGGGGCTGGGGGTGGATTTGGGGAAGGGGGTTGTGGATGCGGGGTTGTGGTTTGGGTTTTATACCGTGAGTTCGCTTTTGTCGTTTCTTTTCTTGGTGTTCTTTTGGAGAAGGGGGGTGCTCTTTGTGGTTGGCTGCTGATATGGGATGTGGGGGCTAGTGGTTCCGCGCGCGACGGCTGGCTCATCGGGATGTGCCCCATCTGAGTGGCTTCGAGGAGCTGGCGGTTGGTGCTGCCGCGGGGGCGTGCGCGAAGCTGTTCACGACACCGGTGAGCAATGTGGTGACGAGGCGGCAGACGGCTAGTTTGCTCGACAGTGGCAGTGGCACGAAGGCACGAGACCTGAGCTTCGGCGAGACCATCTCTGAGATGCGGCGAGAGCGAGGCGTGCTCGGCCTGTGGGCGGGCTACTCGGCCAGCTTGGTGCTGACGCTAAACCCAAGCATCACATTCTTTCTGCAGCAAGTGCTAAAGAGGGCGCTGGTGGCGAGAGAGCGGTGGGACGAGCCGGGCGCAGCGACGACATTCCTCTTGGCGGCGGCGAGCAAGGTCGTCGCCACGAGCATGACGTATCCGTTCCAGATCGCCAAGGCGCGCATGCAGGTGTCGGCGGCGCCAGATGATAAAGGAGATGGCGGGAGGCCGATCGGGAGAGACAACATTTTCGCGACGGTGTTGAGGATAGCAAGGGCCGAAGGGGGGAAGGCGTTGTATGACGGGATTGGCGGCGAGTTACTCAAGGCCTTCTTCAGTCACGGCACGACCATGCTGTCCAAGGACGTCATCCACCGTTTCATCGTGCAGCTTTATTTCGCTATCTTGGCCATCTTGAAGCGGAATCCTCACTTCAGGGCGAGGCTATCTGCGAGGATCAAGAAAGCCCGCGAAGAGGCGCGGGAACGGTACCTTCGGGCTTCGTCATCAGGGGCCAACGAAATCCGCCGGGGAGCACGCTATGTCAAGGATGCAGTGGACTCGGGGCAGAACACTCCGACCAATTGGTTGAGTGCGGTCCAAAAGAAGCCCGGTAGCTGAGAGGGCAGTTAATCCAAAAGATCATACCATCAGCATCGAAACATCACGGCATCTTTTTTGACCTGGTTGCTGCCACCGGCCGAAAACCCTGTGCCTTCGCGACGTAGCTCTACCAAGCCTGGCTGGATCTTTTCCTTGCCCTCTTTCTTCGCAAACTCCTTCTCTGTAAGGTCAGCTTCGCAAACATAACAGCGCATTGAGTCTCCATTGGTTGGTTTCATGAACTGGTCCACGCAGCTCTTGCAAAGCACATGTCCACAAGGCTTAGCCAGTGTAGCCCGGGAAGAGTTTGTGAGCCCCTTCGTGCAGGCTGGGCATATCCTCTGGGGCGATTTGCTGTTTGAGTCCTTCTCTTCCGAGAAGTTGACGGTGATGAGGCTGTGTAGTGAGTAGTGGTGCGGTTTATCCTCTGCTGATGCTGGACAGGTCGGCTGCGACTTGACCTTCTTCTTCACCTCATGCAACGTGTTGCTGCTATTTGACGTCGGGGTTACAGTAGGCGACCAAAATGACGGCAGCGTGGGTTTTGACGCCTATGAAACTGCGTTAGGTTCTCTGTCCCGAGGGCCCATTGTTGTTCAACCCACCTTCTCGTCGTCAATGGCCCGTCTCGCCTTCGTCCGCTCTTCGTCGGCAATGCGCGCAACCTCGTCGGGGTCTAGCGAGAACTTGCGCTTCTCGCCCGTTTTTGGGCCGTCGTCTTGCCCGCTTTTCCCTTTCTCGGCCTGCGCATCCCGTCCTGGCGGCTCCGTTTTTTCTTTCCCACCACTTGTATTATCCCCCCTCTTAATACTCAGCCCGGCTTGCGTCAACTCGAACTCTCGTATGGATCTTTCCTGAGCCTCGGCATCCCGTCGTGCCTTTTCTTCCGATGCCTCGCGCTCCTCCTGCTCGCGGGCCTTGTCGGCTCGTTTGATCTCTTTCTTTTGGGCTAGGATATTGCTGAGGGCACACTCGCGGCAAAATATATCACCGTGGGCACATGCGACCGGGTCGATGGCGGGCTCGAGGCACAGCCAGCACGAGGCAAATGGCAGGAAGGATTCCCGCGAAAGGCGAGCTGTCGACGTGCCCCAGGCCACGCGGGCCATTGCCCGTTCGTGGGACGTGAAGATGGGTCGGCTGGTGTTTCTCTTGCCTAAAGAGTTAGATTAACTTGTCGAGTAGCGAATAGGCCTGACGGGATAACTCACTGTGGGCCATCTTGAATGTGGATGGATTGATGTTAGCAAGAGTTGATCCCTAGTTAAGGTACTGTACCTGAACTCCAAGGGAAACTGTAGACCTTCACGAACTGCAGGGCCTCGACCTCGGGCTCCACTATTCGTACCCTGTCGTGCAAACCAGCCTGCCAACGCACAAGCGGAGCCAGCTAACTCTTGGCGGTTTGTGGGGGAACAACCCCTGTATTTTCCACGTGCCAAAAATGGCAGTTGTTTCCAGGTTCGTGGCTCGGCAACCTGCAACTCTTTCAAGCCTGAGGGAATTGCCATTCCCAACAATTACAGGCCGTTGTGGAACCTGCGGCGAATCGGTTGAAAGGCACTGTTTTCTTCTTGATTTACCTATTTTCCCTGTTTCCATTAGGCCATGCTGATGAGCCCGACCCGGTGCGCGACGGGAGGCAGTGAGATGATGTGAAATCTCGGTCGGCACCTAATTCTTGAATATTTCGCTTCTTTCTTTTTTCCCCTTTGGTGATCCGACCATGGCGACACCCACGCCGAGCCCTCATGGGCCGACCCTCTCGATGCGCCTGAAATCGGCCATGATTATGGGGATGACGGGCGTTCTCTCAAAATGCTTCTTATATGGGTTTAACAGGGTCGAAGTGACGGGGCTCTCCCGCTTTCTCGACATCCTAGACAGCCGTAGAGATCCTGCAAAACGCCAGCGCGGCCTCCTGACCGGTGGGATATCAACCATTTAGCCCATTTGTTCTCCCATGCACACGCTGACACGCCGTAGTCTCAAACCACGTCAGCGTGTGAGTTTTGGTTTCAAAAAACCAGGAACCTGTACAAGATCAAGACATGTAACTCATACCGCCAT